GTGGTGATGTTGAAGGCTAGCTCTACGACGCGGGCCTCGATGTCGGCGCTGAGACGAATGCTGTTGGCGCCTGTTATGCGTACCAGCAGGTTGGTTAGGCTGGCCGAGAAGACGTCGTTCTCGACGAAGGCCTCCTCCTCCGACTCGATCAACGTGGCGAAGAAGAGCACGGCCTCCTGGATGATCCACTCATTGAAGGAGCTCGTTGCGATCTTGGCCACGGGGATGTACACTTGTTTCGCGGCGGCAAAGGCGATACACGGATGGGGCAAGGGGCGTTGGGACTCGTCTTTGAGGATGCTGGCTAGCTCCTGGAGGCGGATCTCGATCTGCTCGGCGGCTTCGACATCGTGGGCTAGGTTGGACGAGTTCCGCCATGTTGTCTGGAGGGCGCAGGGAGCCGAGGGTCAGCATTGGGCATGCTTCAAAAACGGGAGAGACAGAACTCGGGGAGCTTACTAGAAGCTGCGTGTATTCCTTCTCGAAGCGATGCAGGCGCCTGGCGGGATCCTTGGCAAAGTCCTTGCGCGAACTGCCCGACGACAGCGGCGTGTGTGCTATGAGGCGCGACCACTGTGAGAGGTTGGTTAGCACAGCGCGCTCCAGGCCATTGTCTCGACTCGCTCTCGCCGGCACACTCACAAAGTCCATGGCGTCTCTGACGGCATCTCGAGCACCGTTGTGAACGAGTACAGGCCGCGTGTCGTCGTTTTGGAACCCGTGCTCGATCGCATGAATTGGTGCTGTTCCAGATGTCGGAAATTGTTTAGCCGTTTGCCATTGCAGCTGCTCTGTGCTGGAGCCCGAGCTTCCTTCCTTGGCTGCCAGAGCTGCAGCCTGTGGCGGGCACGGACGCTATCAGGGGGTGGCATGGCCGCCTATGACCTGCAGCTGCTCCAGAACCTCGACAATCTGGGCCAAGTCAAGCGGGACCCAGGAGAACAGATGGTGGGGCAATTCTTTGACAAGCGGGCGGTCTTCCAGAATGCTGTTCTCCTCAACCTCGGCGAAAAAGGCCATTATGACGACTGGGCATTTATACAGGCATCATCGCTGCGCTCAAAAGGGTTGGCGGGTATGTCCGCACTTCCATTACGGCCGTTTGGAACTGGCGATTGCAAGTTGCTGGGGACACCTGTGCAACCAAGCCAGGTGAATGCCCGGGCGGCTGGTGTTTTGTGAAACATGCTGGCTCAGCGAGTTGAATGATTTGCTGTTCTATAATGAGCACCACGAGGCAAGCAATCAGCCTTCAACGTCGAGCTGCTTGAACATGCTTTTCCACTTCCGCGTCTTTTCTCTTCGTTCTCCTACTCCTGCGTTTTTGAACAGAGTTGCATCGAGTGCGGGGTTGTCTCCTGCAAAGACCCATGCCGCATGCCACGGGAAGCGCAATCGCCTCTTCCCCTGGGAGTCACGGCGAAATGATATCGAACCAGTTTTCGTGAGGCTTGCGAAAATGCACTGATACATCTATCTGCACGTCTCATTGGCGCCGTAAGTAACGACGATGACCCAGACATGGACGTAGGTAAGTAGCTTTGTCAAGCAAAGATAATCACACCAATAGGGACTGTTAATAACTGTCTGCCATATCTTTGAAGAGACCCCTTTCGTATCCCTTCTCAAACTCCAAATCCAGCCACTTGTTTATTCTTGTCTGCCGGGATATCCACCAGTGTCACAGCCATTGTATCCGACAGGGCTGGTTCAATGTCTCTTCATACAACAACCGGGAAGCCGTTGCATCGGTTTCCTGCGCCTGCTGTGGGCGTTCCTTCCAGCGCCTTCAAAGTTGAAGGGGTTCCGGAAATTCTGCATGTTTGCCTTCCATCCTGCCATCTTAGGCATGGGCGTCGGCGTCGGCATTCTACTACATGCCACCGCTTCACTAATTGGCCATTTTGCAGTTGTCCTTGATAACTTCATGATGTCCACAGGTACGTGGTTATTTTAATCATGGTAGGGTACGGTGGTTGAGGGGAGTACTGAGGCCGTACAAGTTGGCACCTTCAAGTTGCTCAAACTATCGTGACCTCTCCCTGGCCCGTGCCTTTATCAGCTAGAACATGGTGGGTAACGCACATGCAAAGCTTCTCAACCAGAAACAGCAGTAGTAGGGAATCACCCAAAGGCTGGCGAATCTCCGCTTCGGCCACTGGACACGGCGGCTATCAGCGCACGAAGCTCCTCTCGGCCACCAAGCACGGCAGCAGCAGATGGAGAAACCCATTCATTGCCTGCATAAGTTTGCTTTCGCAGCATGGCCAGGGCCTGTGGTTCGCCGACCGCACAGAAGGTGCGTCGGACAAGGGACTGCAATTGGAGGCTGAGCCATTCCGGATGACGAATCACAGGCCTGAAGTGCCCTGTTGCTAGGGTACGAGGGGCACTCTTGGCAGCAGAAAACGGCAAGGCGTGCAAGGCACTCCCGCTACCGACGACTCCAACTCGCCTCGTCGCTGCCGAGTGTGTGTCACATGGTTCCTTCTCCACGAGGTATTCTTAATCCAGGTCCCGAGCCTTGAGAGCTTCTGCCTCTTCGCCATGACTGTCATTGTCGCGGCCTTGCTGCGATCAACATCATCTTCTTTGCCTTTGTCTGCCATTTTGCCCATGGCAGCTCCCAGGAGTCTCCAAGTGGAGTGACCCCTGAATTGTTACTATACTTGCTGATGCCGTGCTCGATTACACTAAAATGGGGTTCTTCAGCCGCTCAAAAAAGGTGAAGAAAGACTCACCACCACTTCCACCCAAGGAACAGAGGCGGGCATCTCCTCAACATCAAGCACACCCACCGCCGCCATCCTCACATCCTCCTCAGAATTGGTACCATGGTGATCCATATCGGCCACCAGCACCTTTCCAGCCCGCTGGCCTCCTTCCTGCACCTCCTGGATGGACGCCCCCGCCTCCTCCGTCGTATCGCCAGTCAGGATATCCGCCGCCCATCATCGTGAACCAAAACCACTATTACCTAAGCCCACCCCCTCCGTCTCATGGACAAGGCCCCTCACCTACAAATGCTGGAAACTCGAGCAAGTTGAATCTCGGGTCCGTCGTAAACCTCGCCAAGGAGATCTACCCGGGGGCCAACATCCCTCTCTTTGACGATGGCCTTCCCTCGTGGCATGGCTACACGAGCCAACTCCTCAACCAGAGCGCCGCTGTGGTCGACCAGATATCGAACCGCTTCAACGATGTCATGACCCTGATCGACGGCAATCGATATGCCGGGAACGAGACTGAGCTCTTTGCTTGGCAGGCAGAGCAGCCCCCACAGCAGCAGCCAACGCATACAGCCGTGACTGAGAAAGGACTGCTGCCGCGGCCGAAAAAGAAAACACAGTCCAGGGACCATCCAAAGGGACAAACAACGGCCGTGGCTACGTCAGTCATTTCGGGCAATTTCTTCGCCAAGGTCCATCTCTATGCAAACTCGAGGCTCCCCATGGACCTGCCTCCTCTCAGACTCTACATCGAGACGTACCCACTTCTGTGTCTCGCCGCACAGTACTCGGACCGCGTCTATGAAAGACCCAAGGGCGCCGAGAGAGACGCCCACGTCGACGCAGACTGGAAAACGGGCAGCAAAGCCATGGTGATCAAGTCGGTTCCCATGGATTACATGAACACCATCGTCTTTGCCATTCGTGGGACCGCCACATTTATGGACTGGGCAGTCAACCTGAACATGGCGCCGGCCTCGCCTGTTGGCTTTTTGGTGAGCATTTCTGGATGTTATTGGTCCCTGTCCTGGGCATTCGCTAACTTGTAGCTTAGGACGACCCTGGAAACTTCTGCCACGCCGGCTTTCTCAGTGCCGCGCGGAAGATGATCTCGCCCGTGGCCCGTCGGCTGCGGCAACTGCTCGAAGAAGACCCGGGGCGTGCGTCCTACTCTCTCCTCATCACGGGCCACAGCGCGGGCGGTGCCGTCGCCGCGCTTCTGTACAGCCACATGCTTGCGACATCGAAGGCGGCAGAGAGCGAGCTGAACACGTTGACGGGATGCTTCAAGCGCATCCATTGCATCATCTTCGGCACGCCGCCCATCAGCTTGATGCCCCTGACAAAGCCTGATAACTTTGAAGGTCGTCCGCAGCTCCGGAAAAGCTTATTCTTGAGTTTCATCAACGAAGGGGATCCAGTGGCAAGGGCGGACAAAGCCTATGTGCGAAGCCTTCTCGAGCTGTTTGCCGCGCCTGCGCCAGCAACGGTTGGTGGATCTTTCTCCAACAAGAGCTCTCCGAGAAGTACGCTTGTAACCAGCTCGGACGGCGGCAGGAGGCGGCGGCCCAAGGAGGCGGGTTCCAAAACGTCACTGCCATCTGGAACGTCGAGCAAAACGGGGGGAAGAGGGACTAAGGCAACTACTACTACTGATAGGTTGACAGGGCCAGGTCCCGTATGGAGAGTACCGCCCAGCACCCTGAGCAGCGCTGGTCGCATCGTGGTGCTGCGGTCTGGCGACCCGAAAGCGAGGCTGAAGGGCAAGAAGACGGTGGAGGAGCGGCTGAACGAGGGCGTTGTCGCGCACACTTGTACCGATGAGCAGCTGCGGGGGGTTATCTGGGGCGATCCAGTTTCCCATGTCATGAGGTTGTATGCTGGCAGAATCGAGACGCTGGCGGTGGGCGCTGTCACTGCTCAGGGCCATTGATGTCCATATGGTCGTCGGGTTTGGCAGGCCCAGGGAAGGGATTAATCATGGGACGATTTTACGATGATGACGTATGGTTGTTCTTCTTTGGGATTCATGATACCATTTGGGAGTTTCTTTTCTTTAGTAGTTCTGATATGTAAGGAGCTCAGGACAATGACTTAGCCTTTCGTCTGAACAGTGAATTCCGTCTCGGGTACACTGACTGCCCCCACCCGCACATCAATTGATGGTTCGAAATGCGTCTTCCATATTCCACCACTGTCTGTCTGTCTGCCCCTCACGCACACTAATTCATCATTCCGAATAAGCCTTTCATATTCCACCAAACAGATAAAGCCGTAATAGTGTAGTGGTTAGCACGTCAGCTCTCAACAAGCTGAAGTCGCGGGTTCGATTCCCGCTTACGGCGTCCGAGCCGTGGGCCGCTCGTAAGTCCCACGGGGTAGGATACTGGAATGCGCGGAACAGAGGAGCCACGGCAGGGTCCTGAACTTTGTCGCGGCGAAGTAGACGGGAGCCTGTCTGTTGTTGAATTTCGATGACCTTTTTTTGATAGGGGGGGCGTATTTGGACGTAAGGAGTGAACATTTCTCCTGTGTATGGGATGTGGTAGCGACCAAGAGGGTCGTCGCCATTGGTAAAGAAAGCCCTTAGGAAGGTGCCCCATCTGGATGTACACGTCCTTTCTCATGTCATGTTATCCGAGGCATCGTGCTAATAGAATAAATGGGATAGACAACTAAGGTGGGTGGGCACATCCACAGAGCCATAGAGCTACAGAGCCAGAGTTACTCGCCCGCATTCGAGCGCAGCGAGCAGCTCCCCGGAGAGGACGTCGGAGGCATTCATTCAAAGGCTTAATGATACAGTAATTTACTCAAGCTCGCTCGCAGGCGTTCGCTGCGGTAGGCTCTCCTTCCGTTGACGTCTTCCTAACGTCTGTTAGCTGACCTCTTGTAGTTTGTCAGTGCAGTGCTTGGAATTTTTTTTTTAAAAAAAAACATAACACAGCACTGTCTCCCAACACCTCATGAGATTGTCGCCACCTAAGAGGCAAGACATCGGAGTTTCTGGTGTAAGACAGGTCAGAGTCGGCTCGGGTTTAGATGCCCTCCCTTGACGTGCCGTCAACTCTCTGGTCTGGCGGGACGTGTTGGTTTGACAGGCGGTTTAGCCGAGCGCTTGTTCCAGGCGCCACCCGGGCAGGATGTGGGGACAGCGGGGCCATTGCGGGACTGCCCAAACTGTCAACCCCGCCAAACGACTAACCCCACCATGAGGGGATAGCTCCAGGGCATCGATCGAGCCCATAATATTTTGGTTGCACCTTCAACTTGGTCAACCTGCGAAGAGTCTCTCGCAAACTCACAACTCTGCTGACAATATGGAATTCGAGCCCAAGACCCGTATGTTTCTCCTGCTGCATTGCATTAACCACCCTCCAAAGCTAACTGCCCACGCCAGCCCAGTACTCCACCGGCGACCCCACGTCGTTTGCGTATCCCACTGCCAGATCGCGATGGCCCGTCATCTTGGTGAGCTCTCCCCTTGCGCACGAGTGCAGTTTATTATACACCCCCGCTGAAAAACCGTTGTCAACCAGACGCAAATCATCGATGACGCATTCAAGTCTGTGTCGGCCTGCGACGACGCCGAGAAGCGCAACGAGGGCAAGAAGATAGTCGAGGAGCTCGTCAACCTCAAATACGAAGTCCAGCACGATCGGGCATTAACGTTCGTTCTTTTCTTCTACCGAAAACTGTGGACGCGCGAGATATGGAGTTTGAAGAGAGGTCAGCTGCTGAAACATGGGACAACAGGCCGATACGAGACGACGGGGCGCCCGACGTGGCCATCTACAACAAGGAGCTGGCGGCGCTTGGCAACAAGGTCAGCTGGCTGAATGTGCCGTGGCTGTACACTGAGTGCTATCTGTTCCGGTGAGTCTAGTCTGTCTGCATGACTTGGGTTCTATTTTGAAGGAAGGTTGGTTATGCTGATACGCTTGTGGAGCTACTAGACGTGTCAACACTTCGTTCAGCCTGTCCACCCACTGGAAGAACTACGATGTGTTTGCGCGACAGAAGATCAAGACGTTCCGCTCGTCGCGCCCAGCCGTGATTGAGCTCGCGGCTCGGTACAAGGACCTCGTCACCCAGCTTCGCGCTAACAAGGGGAAGCCCGTCAATGAGGAGGCCGAGAAGATCTTGTTCATGGAGATGTGCGAGATCTGTCTCTGGGGCAACGCCACCGACTTGTCGCTGCTGACCAACCTGTCGTACGAGGATATCCAGAAGCTACAGGGGTCGGAGGCGCGCAAGGCCGCTGAGAAGAACATTCTCGTGAACGACCTGGGGGCTGCGTTTGACTTGCTGATGGCGGCGAAGAAGGCAGGCGGCAACGAGCGTCGTGTGGATATCGTACTGGACAATGCCGGCTTCGAGCTCTACGTTGATCTCATCCTGGCGGGATATCTTCTGTCGACGGATCTGGCGACACAGGTGGTGCTTCACCCCAAGTCCATGCCCTGGTTCGTGTCTGACGTGGTGCCGGCCGATTTTGCCGCGCTCCTCACTGCCGTCGCCAGCCCGCGTCACTTTTACGAGACACCCACCGAGGAGGACCAGCTCCAAGACAAGACGCCTGAGAAGCTTACGGATACCGAGGTCGAGGAGTTAACCTTCCTCTTCCAGGAGTGGGCCGGCTTCCATGGCGAGGGCCAGCTTGCCCTGCGCCCGAACCGCGTCTGGACGCACCCGGGTAGCTTCTGGAGGCTGCCACACGAGGCACCAGACTTGGTAGAGGATCTCAAGACAAGTGAACTAGTCATCTTCAAGGGCGACCTGAACTACAGAAAACTTGTGGCCGATGTGAACATCTTCCCCCTCCTTAACCATTGACAGAAATGACGGCGGCTAACAACTGCACAGGCAAGCTGGGACCCGACAACACCATTCACAGAGGCCATTGGACCGCTTGGCCCAGGCTCTGGAATCAACGTCTTGTCGTTGAGGACCTGCAAGGGTGACGTCGTGGTAGGGTTGAAGCCTGGGGAAGACGAGAAGCTCCGGCAAACCGAGGACGGCGGAGGCGACACGGGGGCGAGGAAGTGGGCGTGGAATGGCAAGTGGGCTGTTTGCTCTTTCTCCAAGGGGCGCTAAAGGGGCTCGCTCTCCTTAGACTCCGGTTGCTCTCGATACATGACGCTATGATAGAGGCATTAGATATAAGAGATGATTTACATGAGCTATACTCCCATGACATGCATGTGACGGTAGATAATATTCATGTATAAATAACTACTAGTATTAACGTTACTAGTTGCGCTACGTACGCCCTTCTCGTCTATCCCTATCCTAGTTCCTGCTTCCCAAATCTATACTCCACGGCCGTCTCATGGGAAAACCAATCACAAAACCTCCCATGCGGCCATCAGCCGAAGTGTGCATCTATGAAAGTATGAAAGACCAATAGCCAAACGTGTGCGCTCCACCAGAGACACATTTTCTGAGGGATGATTGCGCTCTCCAAAAGAACTGGGCTGCGTTACAGTCGTTGTATCCAGTGACCGTCGTGTGCTGTCCGACACTGTCGGCGGTCGAAGGCCCGGTGGGAAATGGTGAGGATGAGTTGACTGATATTCGGCGACGGGTGCTACCGTGGCGAGATGTGTGGTGTACGATCGAGTGGCCTTGATCGAAGGGTAAAAAGGCGTTTGGGAAAATACTGATACGCATGTGTGTTCGTACATACACAAGTATCTAATATCAGTTGTCGGTTGGTGAAGTGATGAAGTAAAATATAGGAAGAGACGTATTGGTACTGAGGGCATCGTGGGTATCGTGTGTATCGTGGGTATTTTGGCAACAGGTCGATGGAAGTGTCGTAATAAATACAAGTCCAAAGTTGCGAAGTATGTCGTATATTGTAATGTTGTAACGAGTAGGTACCTAGGTAGGTACTGCCAGGCCATTCGAGTGGCGGGCGGGCGGATATGCGTATCTCCAAGGTTAAGTTCGGTATCCAAAGTTTATATCGAAAAAGAAGTGACAGACTCCATCGCGAAATGATGAGATGGACCCCCTTCCTCAATACGACTCCCAATCTGACCCGTGCTCCTCCGCAGAGTCTTCCGAGTCGAGAACGATCTCCATATCGTGCACTACATGCACGAGGCGAGCCTCGAGTCGTACGCGATCCGGATCTCGCCCGCGCCGTCGATCCTCTCGACCAGCGGAACAAGCTGCTTGAAGACCTGTCGCTGCCGGAGCTTGGCGGGCTTCATGTTGGCGATTTCTTCCACCTTGGCGACGCTGTAGTCCCAGTCCTAGACGATCTTGATTTCGCCTTCGTCTTCGAGCGTTCCCACCAGCGCGAGGATTTCTTTGAGGATCTGGTCGCGCGTTGGTCTGGTGGGTAGATCGAAGGGTTGTTCGATCGAGGGCAGGACGGTGTCCGGGTTCGGGTCCTGCGCTGTCGGCGATGAGGAGGAGGAGGAGGACGACGACGACGGGCCGCTTCTGTTGACGAGGACGATCTTTTTCTTTTCTGCTGGGAGTGGGGAGGGTGGTGGGGATGGGGAGGGCTCTCGTTTGGCCGTCACGGTTTTGACTTTGACCGTGATTGGGAAAAGGTCTTGCCCGCCGCGGAGGTTGAACTGGTCGAACTTGGATGCCGACACAGGTGAGGTTGGCTGCGTCTCGGAGGCATAGGCCGAGTCTAAATTGCGCTCCCGCTCGAGCTTTGAGCCTTCAGTTGAAAACGAGAACGCAAATCGACGGTCGGACCGGATCTGCTCCCAGACGTGTTCGGCCAGGCCGAGCTTGTGGTCGCGCCAGACCCAATTCTCTGGGAAGTGCTCGGCCCAGTGAGGGTCGATGTAGGCAAGAAAGGACTGGTGGTCGGTATGCGCCGGCAGTGTGTCCTGAACTGGGCGGCATGGGGCGCAGTCGGCGCAAATGCAGTGGCCACAAGGGCGGATTCCCATGCTCGCACCGACGATGGGCGAGCCGCTTTCCTGTGGCTGCAAGCAGACGGGGATCTGGTTATTGGCCTCGCCTCCGCACTGGCAGCAGGTCCAGAGGCGGCCGACTCGCTCGAGCTAGCCGTCCGTCTCGAAGCACTCGTCGAAACAGATCTCTTTCTCGTACGCCAGGTTGGAACACGGCCGGATGGTGAGTAGTCTTTCGTTTTGGATCCGCTCTCGCACTCGGCGGTGGAGGCAGAGGTGCTGTATCCTGGTCTTGACGCACAATGCTGGTACGGCAGGGGTGACGGGGGAAGAAGGCGAACAAGTGATAGAGGGAGGTATCGAGAAGCGCTAGATCGCAATTGACAATGAGGTCGAGGAAGTCGACTTGAAGAAGAGTAAGTCGGCGTGAAAGTCGGCGGTGACGAGGTCGAGGAGGAACTGAGGCGACCGAAGGAACAGAAAGGTTAAGGATCCGAGAAAAGTGCTCGTTCTGTCTGTACGTCGTGGCGGGATGCAACTGGATGTGCAGGAAGGCAGAGTTGACCTGCTCGGAGTCGAAATATTGATATTTAAGACAAGGCAAGGGTCGAGCCGATAATCTGAGACGACCTCAGTGAGTGATGCGTGATGTCCTGAGAAGACAGGCTCATTGAATGATGGGTGCTGCCGTGCGAGGATGGACATTCACCTTTTCCATGCATGATTGCTATATACGAGTCAGATGAAATGGGATGGCATTATGCTCGCGAGATGGGATGGAATATATTAGTTGACGGATTCGGAGATAGATCGTGATAGTTGCGGTTCTTGAAGTTCCATAAACCAGGTTATCAGATCGCCCAAAGTGGACTATTCTGAACCTACCAAGTTTGAGGTGCTGAGTTTGAATGTTTTCATAAGATCTTGCAACCGACACCCAACAATGGCGACCTGGGTAATTTGAAGTTCGCCGCAATGGTCGCTTGGCAGATGGAAGGCCAGATTCACTTGATTGGCGAGGAAGTGTGTGTGAATATATACTTTGACGACATTAAAAAACGAAAGAGGAAAAAAGACGCAGCACAATTTGCCAATTTGCGGACAACAGCACCCGGGAAGACTCAACGGAATGCTGCCAGAGCAACCAGAGCAAATGGCCAAGGAAGCGCTGCGGTTAGACCACCAGGTCTTGACTGGGAAAGAAAGCAATGATGCAGGCGCCAGTCAGGGGATGTCCGTCTCTCCTGGCCGCGGAGGAGCTATTCGTATAATTTCAATTCATATTCTGACCTTATACCAAAGCCTATCTGTAAACCTTAGACCTCCAACCCTCTCTGTACAGTATGGCAAGGATTAGAAAAAGGGGAAGTTATGCTGTGGTTGAAGACAATAGGTCTTAATGGATCGCTCTGAGTCCGTTAGCGACTTCTACTTCTATTGAGTGCTTCGCCCAGCGCAACGTTAATTCAGTTGTGAAATTTGGAAGTTAAAGCTGGGCTCATTGACAAAGCCCGGAGGGGAGGAAGATTGATGTGGTACAGGTCCATGGTTTAATGTAAAATTATAATACCGCGAACCATCCTTAAACACACACCCTACTCTTGCGTGTGCGCTTCAAGATTAAGATCGTGACCCTGAGTGAGATTGAGGTACATACCTCAATTTTTAGAGGTATGGCAATAATACAGAGTCATAATCACAAACAAAACATCTAAGAAAGTTCATTACCATGCTTCTGAGGTCTTCTGCATTGAGTAGGATTGATTTGGTCCCGAGGCCCCTCAGGAAACATCGTTGTGATTATGCCCGACAACAATACACTTCTATGCCAACGATGGTGCTACCTATTTACCAACTTTTACCACCCCTGATACATGTCAAGAGTACCAACGACGCCAGATCCAAGACTGCCACCATATGGAGAAAAGATGGACTCTGTCAAGACGTTTTCTATTCAGGGAGGCGAGGAGGACTTCGTCCTTTTCGATGCACTTAGGGTTAGGGTTGTCGGGTATTGTTCGAAATTGACGCAAATTGTTACAAATCTTCACTCCACTCCACTCCACCGTTAGAAAAACTTTCACAAGCCCACAAACACCGCAGACACCATGCTCTGAGCCATGTTATCAAATCAACCTTACATCAAATAACAGCATAATCGGCCCGCTGGCTCAATGGTAGAGCGTCTGACTACGATACAATAGTAATCAGGAGGTTCCAGGTTCGAGACCTGGGTGGGTCGACTTAACTTTTGCTCTTTCAAATAAGAGCATCCTCCTTTTTTTTTTTCCTTTCAACTACTTTTTGAAAACACACCTGAGAATGACATAGCCACAAGGAGTCGTGAGTTTTGACAGCCAGTAGCAGGGGAGAGCTTTATCACACACAGCGAAACGGCCCTCGGAGAAAATTGTCAGCCGCAAGGGCAGAACGAGGCGTTTCTCTTTCAATTTCCGATTTGCAGACCAATGAGTTCGGATCATTGCTAAGCAAGCGCCCAGCCAGCTCCGGGGTATCACTGACTCCCGAAAACCTCTTTATATGACGACCCAACCGTTCGCAGCCCCTTGACGGTGCCCTTCCCCGGCTTGTCCTCCGCCTCCTCATGGCTTGACAGCCGCACAAAGCTTGGTATGGCTTGGACCTTGTCGGGATTTTGAAACAACACGCCAAGCATTCACGTCCTCTGGCGAGGGATTCCGAAAGCACTCATTGTCACAATGCTACCACACTTCTTCGGGGGCTTGACTAGGCTGACCATGAGTGAGCCTTGGCTGCCTCCGTCTTATGGACAACTGCTTTGCACGTGGAGTCTAGAGGCTGTTTCGAGAGCCAGTCGCTCGTGACCGTGACGAGACTTGGTGCTCGAGAAGCGAAACGACTCTATATAAATCGTTTGTCCTTCTTGCTTAGTCTCACGAGACCCTGTGGTAAGAACCCAGATCCAAAAACCAAACATTTTGAAAAATAGAATCCAAGCCATGAAGTTTCTTTCTTCCCATCACGTCCTGGTCTCTCTGGCTGTACAGATGGCCCTGAACGTGCCAGGGGTCTTCTCAGCAAAGCCAGTTCACCAGCTGAAGATCAGCATCGATGACATCAAGCTCCAGCTTTCGTACATCCTTGGCAACCTGTGGGTGCAAACCGACCAGAGCAACAACCCGTCACATCTCCAAACCATCTCGTCTACATACACGGCCTGTGTCCCGGCAACGGCAGCACACAAGAATGCCTGTCGTCTCCAATGCCGCAAGGACTTCGCCGGCGACCCGACCCTCCTCAAGATGTGCATCAACGGCTGCAACGCCTTACAGGACTGCTCCCAGCGCTGCGGAGCCCACCCAACCGCCAACTTTGTCCGCTTCGGCGACACCATGAAGCTGCTCCTCACCAAGAAATGCACCAACCCGGCCTCATCATGCCCGCCCTGCACCGTCGGCCAGCAGACGCCCCTTGTCGACGACCAGGACCTCAGCTACCTGCTGCCCGTCCCGCTCTTCCGCAAAGGCATCGGCATCGGCAACGTCGTCTGCGACCTAACCCGCTTCGCCATCAACCTCAACAACACCTCCGGCAGCACGCAGTACAACGACCACCTGACCGCCGAGCTCACCAACCAGCAGGGACTCCACCTCAACATCAAGGCCACGGCCGACGACCCGACCCTGACCTGCCGCGGCGCCCTCGGTAACTTCCCGGCCACGCTGCGCAACCCAAACTTTGACATCTACCTCCTCCCGTCGTGGAACCCAGCCACCCACCGCATCGCGTGGGCCGTGTCGGCTGCCTTCCACGCCCACGTCAACTACCGCTTCGAGCTGACCAACAACCTGGATGCGGAACTCGCCAACAAGGTCAACGACATGCTGAACGGCTACATCAATCGCAATAAGGCGCAGATCGAGCGCAGCATGACGGCGTGGCTGCTGAACCGCATCCAGGCAAGGTTTGGCGAGGAGGTGGATGACTTTACCGGCATCTCGGTGTCTGCTTCCTCGGGGATGGTGATTTCATACACGCCGGTTTGTGTGAATGGGGCTTGTTCATGCGATAAGAGTTGGTAAGTTTGTACCTACCTTTTTCTTTCTCTCTCATTCAATTTGTTGTTGTTATGATTTTCTCTTTTCTTTTTCTTGCCTGAGGGAAAGGATTTGCTGTGATGTTTTCCTTTTTCTACCGGTGGTTCCAGGGAATGAATGATATTAAGAATGAGAAAGGAAAGAGAGATGTTTGAGAAATCAGTACTGACAAAAAGACACAACAAAGCAACGGAGCCCACATCTGCGAACCCGACTACTGGGACAACCCCGCCGGCCGGCTGACCTGCAGCGGCGCGGGCCAAGTCTGTCTTAGTCCTGGCGGCACCTGCTGCACTCCCAATTGTGGTGGCGGTAACTGCGGAAGCGACGGCTGCGGCCGGTCTTGTGGAACGTGTCCGTTCGGTCAGTTGTGCGGCGCGAATCATCGCTGTCAGGCGTGTGACCCCGGCCCGTGCAACCATATCTGCTCGCAGACCAAGTGCGGCACGTGGTGCGGCATGTGCAAGCCAGGGCTCGTCTGTGATGAGGGCGGCTGCGAGGATTCGCGGCTTCCGAGACTGCCGAGACTTGGTCGTGGCCTTGGGGCTGGAAGGATGTTTTGATAAGCATCCGTCTTTTTTGCCGTGGGGTACAAGGTAAGATTGTTTTTGGAGACTAAGGTGTTGGGTGAAAGCAATGTGTACTACTAGGAGCAGGGGCCACGTTGTGTTGAACGGGTAACGGTTTGGGTATCAAATATATCTCTCATCTCACCACTATTATCAGATGGAAGGGATCCCAGTCAGTGTCGGTTCTGCAGCACCAGGTCCAGTGAACATGGGCGAGCATACAGAGTGAGGACTGATACCGGGAGCTGGAAATCTGTCGCGTTGACAGCTCCCCTACCCTGATTCTTGCATTAGCATAGACGAGCACGCGAGGATATGCTTCTGTCTGTTGGCAGAGGGCCAGACGTAGGCCGGGCGGGCCAATATAACCTCTCCACTGCGCGCCTGCCGTGGCTTCTTTCATGTGATATAATTTTCGTTTCCAGAACGTGATCCAAGCATGTTTTTATTTATGCTGCCTGTCTTCAACGCGACGCGTCTTTTGACCCTCAATTTATTCACCTTGCTCTTTCAGCGCGCTTCCTTATCTTGTCACCTCGGTCTATTTCCTTGCCCCATTCCTTGCCCTCCTTCCTCACCCTACTTCCTCGACCTACTTTTTTGCCTTCCTTCTTCAACCTTCTTCTCCGCTCTGCTTCCTAGACGCGGCTTTTCTACTCCTTGCATGCTTCGCTTCGCCTCTCTTCTTTCTTTCCTCCACCAGATGTTGCTTTGAGCCTTCGCGCCAAAAAAGAAAACAATCTTCCACCGCCGAAAATTGTCAACCTTGGTCAAAAGGTCTTCAAGACGCCCCGCCAACACAATGCCAAACGAACCGCGGTTGGCCACCCCGGCGGACCGCGAGACGGCCATCCGCCGCATCGCGCCGCACTGGAACAAAGCCGTTCGGGACAAGACAGCCGAAATCATCAGAAAGTACCGATGGGACATGAAGAACCACGGAGCCAACACGCTGGTGAAGAACTGCCGTCAGAGGATCGAGAGCGGCGTCTACCCGGTGCCCGAGTACTGGCTTGCCATCATGGCCTGGTCGGACGGGAAGATCAGCGGGTCTATCGAAAACACCCTCCGCGAGCTCAACGCGGAGGAGTATCTGAAGATGTGCGCCTGGATCGAGGGCGCCCAGGCGCCGTACACGCACCCTAGCTGGCGTCAACTTCTGGCAGCTGAAGCGAGTGCTGATCTCTCCATGTCCGGCGGCTTGACCATGCCTAAGCCTCGTCTCCCAGACGAGAACTCTCGCCGCCCGGCAAACTCTTCGCCTCCCAGCCTCAGCAGCCCCGCTCGAGGAGTCGACAGCCGCTCTCTACCTGCGGCCACCGACGAGTCCTCAATGCTCATCGATGGCGATGACGACGAGGCAGTACCAGTGCCGGCCCCGGCGGGTGGTGGTGACTTGGGACAAATCCGTCGCCAAATGCAGGAGCTTGATCGGAGTCGCACCGAACGCCAGCAAGCCAAGGAGCGGCTGGCCGACGAGATGCGCCAAAGGGCTTCGAGCGACGCCCTGACCATCGCGAACGAGCTGGAAGACATCGGCAGCTTGGTCCAGGCGGCAAAGGCCAAGCTGGCCAAGAGCGAGTTGCAGTACGAGTGGCTGCAGACACTTGATCGGCGCATGGCCGAGTTTGAGAGGTTCGAGCGCGAGACAGCCAAGACACTGGCCCAGATCCAGGAGACTCTTGTCCGGCTGGAGAAAATCATCACGGTATGAGACCCCGAACAATCAGAAGTCTTTCGTGGATGTATTTAATTAACCACATAGCTGAACATCTAGGAAACCATGATGCAACGCAAAAACAAAGAGGTAGTTCAGCTTACCTCTAGTTCAAGCACGTCAGCAAAGATCCTCGAGCGGGAAGTTCCTCAACCGCCACTCCGACCTGAGAACACAACAACCCCGCGGTCAGTTTCCCTCCAAAACCCTCTTCCGAAACGCCCCGCGTCCGCTCACTACGCTCTCAGTGGCAGCACATTCTATGGCCGCACCAGCCGTGGCTCCGCTTGTTCCATTAGTTCCTTGGTCCATCCCAGCAACACACCTCCCCAGCGATCTGTCAGCGCCACTACCGGCACTGTCCATCCCAGCAGCGCGTACGCCTACTACAGCGACATCTACACGCCTCCCACAAGTGGCAGTGGCAACAACCCACCGAATACAAACCGTCCGAGCAACCCGTTCACCCCCCGCCTCCCCAGCGGCGGCGACTCGTTCACGACGACGCCTCTGACCAACCCCTCTGCTTCTCGGAGTAACGCTTCCTCCGCCCCCCACAGCAACGTGTCGTCCGCTCGGCAGCCACGCAGCGGCGGCGCTGCCACAGTCCAGCAGCATCATCACGGTAATAGTCGCCCGTCATCGCCCACCGGCACCCCGACTACCTACCCGAGCAACTTGAATACTGGTACATCGTTCCGACCCATCAACGCGCCCCTTGGCGGCGGGCAGAACATGAGCAGCAGCACTTTGTCGTTCCGTCGCCTGCCGCCCAGAAACATCTCTGACCCTACCCTGGGCGGTGTTACCTACAGCGCCCTCTCCATCTCCTCCGCTGCTGCTGCTACACCACCACCGCAAGCCAGTGGACCCTCCT